AAATTGAGATTTCATAAATCATGTGCAGTCATAAATAAGTTAGTCATAAGTAAATCTGTTTATTTCATAAATCATAAATCATTTCATAAATCATCTGTTTATTTGAAAGATAAGTTGTAGTGTTATTGAATCATTTCTAATGAAACGATGAATTTGCATGCGCATAACTTTAAAACTTACCGCGATAAACGTAATGAACTTAGCAGGGCATATTTTCCGTATTTCTTAGCTCGAAGTCTCAAGTAACGGTCGTATGTAAGGTATCAAATGGTAACGGTCGTATAAAATGGTTAACGAATGCGAAATTCGTTGATATCTACAGTCAATTTTTATGATTAACTGCATCTCCGTTTCAGTTTAACTTGTCGATGGAGCTTCGAGCTTCAGTAAGTATAAGATTTTCTCGGTTATAACAAAACCTTGATCGGATTTTCAGCTTCGGTCAATTTTCTGTTTTTAATGAACACAAGGTTCAGATTTCTTTGAAATGTTTTCGCATCAACTATTCGACACCAGCACTATCCAATTGTTTCTAGATTTGCATGTTGTTTAACTGGTGATAGCAAAAGGCCGAAATTAAATTTAGGTTTAGGTTTAGGCTGAGGCTTATATCGGGAAGCCATGTACTCAATCCTGTATAACAAAATCATCTGTTTATTTGAAAGATAAGTCAATACCGATATGAAACTCATCCTAAATCTAGATGTAATCCACTGTGATTACACCCTCTCGTTCTCATCGCCTCTGTGGATTGACTGCCGAATTGCCGTTCCATTCGTAAAGGTTAAAAGACATTGAACATCCTCTCTGAATCCACGTTGACCTCAATTCAGGTAACCTTCGTGCATTGAGTCTGCTTTCAAACATGTACTCAACGTTGTATACGATGAATTTGCATGCACATAACTGTCTGCTTACATCGGGAAGGCATGTACTCAACCCTATATAACAGAACCATCTGTTTATTTGAACGACGACTTCCAAAACTTTTTGAAACAAGTGTATTTGATTATTTCAAAAAGTTATTCGTCATTAATCATCATTGTCATTGAAAAAACAAAGTTATCGAATAGTTTATTGCATTGTTACGAAACACAAACTGATACAAACGAACTCATAAAGGAGTGTTACAATATGCTGTTGATCAACCTGAGCATAAATATGACGAAGAGCAATTCACTGAATATCAAGCACTTAGCACTGACAATAGACATGAAATGAAACGGCGTTAATGATGATGATGACGAGTAGTGATGATAGTTTGGGATATCCACATTGGTCATTTGATCAAGTAAGTGTTCACATCCAGCGTTACAGTACACCACCCCTGCGTGGATATTCGTATCCATGCATGCACATTTCGCTGCTTCACCACAACGACGACTTCGGAAACGAACCAACTGCAAGCAATTTTTTTTCTTCAAGTATATTGTATGAAAATATAACGTGAATTACCATATGCTGATAACTTTGCTGCAATATGGCGTGGATGGCAATTCACGGCAACTAATTAATTCCTCGGTTGTGTTCGGTTGGCTTGCTCGCCTAGCCAGCGGGGTGGCGTAAATTGAGGCTAAAAGGATGTGCACGGAACCGCGAGCATTGTGGCCAGCAACGTTACAAACGTTTGATAGCCTGGCCAATCCGGGTAATCCAGGTAATGGTTTGAATGTGGTCCGGGAGATTATGGTATCGAAATAAAATTATTCGATGCAATAGCATTGGATGGATAAAGTGAATATGATGAAAGCGGTTACCGAAGCAAGTGAACTCTTGAAACGATTGCAAATATTCCAGTCTTTATTGGTGGCCGAAGCAGTGCTCAGCTGCTTGGAGATGCCAACCAATTCGAGGTATATACCGTGATCTTCATTTTGTTCTTGCGCTGTCATCATTCGTTGACAGCTTTGACGCGCTTCACGAGAGCATGTTTGTGAACATAGCTGCAAATACAGGTACAATCACTGCTTCTGAACATCTTCATTGGTTCATATGTCTATTTAATTAGCAGTCATAACTCAGCATGAGTTCATGCCTCTCTGTTATCATCAATATGACGTCCATCCTTTGCCGATACCCTTTTTTCCACGAAGCGAACGGTATTAGCGTAGAAATGTCTTTATATGGAATCCTAATTTCAGTTCTAATTTCACGATCATAGAAATGGAAACTACTGGTAAGCCAATGAGCATCAACAGCGATGCCTCCGTCTCCGAACACCTCACAGTTCATATGGTCCACTGAAGCGACAGAAATTCCAAAATCAAATCGTGTTTAGGTGGGGGATTTGATGAGTGATGGTCATTTTGATGAGTTAATAAGATATTACCTGAAGAGCGTAGCCACGATGAGCGAGGAACATTTGTATCGGATGAATACGACCGTGTATACCGTGAAATACCACCGAAGCGATCTGAAATCTTTTAACATTTATTCATTTTTCTTGTGAATACAACCGATTTCAATGAAATTTTCACTTTTTGTGTTTTGAATTTTATTAGTCTGAAACTATTCGAATCAGATTTTTGTTACGGAATCTATGATATGGGAAGCTGAAGTTGTTTGTGATCATACAAGTTAGAATTTCATCTGAACAGTTTTATCGAAACAAATTTATTTCATACACGTGTCATACTTCACATTTCCGTAAAGCGATTCAATCCCACTCTATAAAGAAGTGCAATTGAATCGCTCAGCGTATAATTGCGCTCTATCATCGCTATTCCACAAAACGGAAATATTTTGCCGGAGTTAAGATAATTTTTTGTGAATCGAAAACAAATCCAAAATCTCGAACAATAGTGTCAACAAACGAACGTGTGCCACGTATTCATCACGACATCCGGGTATATTGAAACACGATAAATACGGTCTATTCGCCGCACACAGATGTCGACTTCGGCTCATGATCGCCTTCGGTTGATCACGTCTCGTTCGAGCTGGATGTTGGCGAGATGCGCTCGAATTTGTGCTGAACGTGCTTGCCGGACGTTGTTGTTGAGCGGGCACGGCTTGAGGCGCATACTCGACGCCTCGTTTCGTATCTATTCGCATCGCCTGCAATTTCCGTATCACTTTCATTTTTGTTCCCTGTTCTGTACACCTCAAACTATGTCAACGATCAACTACTGACGTGACGATGGAATGCAGTCAAGATTAGTAAAACAACCAATCGGACGCCTCAGTCTAAAAGCCCTTAAAATGTAAACCTTAAAATTTCCTTAACCCTATTGTCCGCTCTGCAAATTCATAAAATAAATGTCCCATCAGACGTAATGCAATTTTGAGCTGATAAAAATGTATTCCAGAAAGCTGGACATATCCGAAATAATATTCATTATATGCTCTCAATAATATTATATTTTCTCCTCGAAATAAGCGATTGCCATTGACAACTGAACAAGAGGAATGAAGAATGATCATAACGTATCGTATATGACTTACATGAAATGCCTTCTCAAGACACTTTTGTACATCAGCTCGATAGCATTGTTCATCAGTGCTGCTTAAACTAAACAGAAATGCCAACGACGTGGTGTTCAGGGTGAGTGCGAATGTCACAAATATGAAAAGTATTGAAAGAACGTTTCTTTGATGCATTTCACCATCTTAATTGCTCAATAGAACGAATAATGTTTCGGTTATAACCGTATGACGACGAGCACTTAATGATGCCATATTCAGTTTTACTTGGCAGCAGACAAATGACAAATGTCTTTCTTATGAGGTATTATTCATCAACAGTTGGACACGAATTGAATCAGTGCAATATTCAGAATTGCTGATCATTTAAAATCACACTGCACAGATCAACGGAAATCATAGAAATGAAACACAATAATCCTTTTCGAGAAGAGTAATGAATAATGGCAGTTAGGAGTGTGATGTCAATAGGTCGTTTTTGAAATCACAAATAGGAACCGTTCCGACGGGTGTAGGAGTTGCTTGGGGATTCAGTGATATGTTTCAGTTCTGATGTTCAGCGAATACAATTTCAACACAATCGTAAATTTGTTGGAAACGTAAAAATTCCTAAAATTGGAGTAGGCAGTTAAAAATCACACTTTTAAAAGTTCTCAGTAATATGGAGCGCGTTTCAGTTATGCGCCTCGGAAGTTGTTTAGGTTGAGAGCTTCTTTATTCACGAATATAGTCAGAGATCGGATTGAAGCAGTCACTGTTGGTCGCAGATTCAGGTATTCAATTTGAAGCGAATCCGAATCCGGTTTTCTGAAAGCATAATCTTGATCAACTCTTCAAGAGCGAATGGAGCGCTGCAGACGAGGACGAAAACAACTCGAGTTCATGTTCTGTTCAATTGATCAATTCTATGATCAATTGAATGCGAGCATACCCTCATTAACTGCATTTCATTTTACTGCAATGATAGAACGTTAAGGTCGTGAGTGCGAATTACTTTCTTCAGAAGTAAAACTGCGGTTACTATCGCATATCTGCGCCAACATCATTATCATTCTCGAATTATGAGTTGTTCGGGCCAAAATGAAGCTCGAGAAACAGCAAGAGATAAAAACTCTTTGCATAAATGAGATTTTAAAATTAAAGCAAAAGAGTACAAAATTAAGTTGTTTAGCTGATAACATTCATTGACACTAAGCAGTAAAGCTTTCTATTTCATTGCTACATAGAACACTTCAAAAGATCTCGGAATCGAAAAAGTTTTCTATTTTCATAAATTTTAGTGAGAAATTTATTCCAATGATTTTATGAACGTTCAATAGAGACTGGACCTCGAAAATATACCGAACGAATTGTTCGATATTTCAGTCAGAGAATAGAAGCAACAGTCCGTAGGAATGTGTGCAGTTTAATTAATTGCTTCCTATCGAGCGTCGTGCTATATTTCCAAGAACAACTCGTTCAGTAACGCAGGTTAATAAATTAACAGCTAACAATTTCATCAAATGAAAATGCGTATGATGCGGAAAATTTTAATGAATTGAATGATGCCTTATCAAATTCCCATGTTAATACGCACGTCAAAGGAAATTCCCATATCAGTGCGCATGAACAATTCGTTTAATGGCGATTTCCCATGCAAGACTTGCAACTTCTCATCATTGCTTTCCTTCCCTCTCCTTCAGACAATCGAATGAATGCACCACACATAAAACGGCAACAACTTCATGTTAGCTTCATTTCTATGATACGAATCAATAGAACGAACTGACTAAATTTCGATAGTTGAATGCTGTCCGAGTTTGCAGGGTGGCATAAGTATTTATCGACATACATCTAAAATAATAAATCTTTGTTGGTTTGTCGACATACTTAAAGTGCTTCCATTCGGTAAGTTCATATCGAAAAAAAAGAAACGGATTTCCGATTGAAATTCAGAAATTCAATTAATGTCATCCAGTTCGGTGCCTGTGACGTTGAATGCACGCACGTTTTTTTTGATTAAAACAGCTGTATGCCAGAAGATAACCGACGCATTCGTGGAGTCTATCGAAATCGAAGAATATGAATTCGGATATTTCGAAATCGCTTTGTGGTGCTTTAATGATTTTAGATCTCTTACGCAGTGATTCTATCCGATAGAAAAATTGTTGAATTTATAAAAAACGAACATCTCGTCAATATTTTCTCATGCAACAACTTGATACGGCCATTACAAGACTGTAGGAAGCGCCTATTGTAGCAAATGTGCCGAAAATATTGCTCTCAAATCACCTTTGCTAGGTTGTTTTTGTTTTTGAATTGATTCAGTAGAAACACATGAATGTACTCGCCATTTCATTGGACAAGATCTGAAGGAGCCATCTCAGAATCAACGAAACTCTGCGGATATTGTCACAAGCTAACAAGTAAATTTTAGTGGGCACATTAGCTGGATTACCTGCATTGGCCAGGCTATCAAACGTTTGTAAAGTTGCTGGCCACAATACTCGCGTTTCCGTTTGCACTG